TGCCCGCTGCCCTGGCCAACGCGACAGACATGTGGTCTCCTGTGAGTGTCTAGTGGTACACCTGTCTCGCATCCTTGGCATATCCTAATGTTTTTTTCCCCGAGTTCGTGTTTAAAATATGACTATTTATAAGATTTAAAACAGTTGTGTATTTTGAGGCTTACGCGGGTTTTGTAATTATTATTATTAGTTAAAACCCCGTTTGGTTTATTTGTTTATTTAGACCCTAAAATAATTTGTTGTGTGTGTGCCTGAAGTAGAGGTTGAGGTCTGAAGGGTTATCAACACTGCCCCGAGGCTGGGATCTTACTGCGGACAGCCAGGGAAGCCCCACTCAGGATAACGGAGTCCCGCCGCCCACACTAAAGTGATCCAGTTTCCCGTCTTCTCTTTCAACATTCAGTGAATATAGAAAATATTTTAGAGCGTTGAAAATCAATCCGAAACAACGATAAAGACTTTTTTTCCCTGGTTGCCTCGATATGCAAGACCAGTATTACGTCTAAATTAATATTGTCGTTTTTTTGTGTTGAACAAGGCCGGCAAGAGCAACTTTGTGTTCATTCGTGCATTATCGTGATCGCATTTTTTTTTTTTAAGAAATACCTCTTTACATATTTTTATTTATACTTAGGTAAAAAATTGCTTTATTAATTTACTTCGTGAGCACGTCCTGTAAAAAGCGTGTAGGATACAGGAATGCCCCCTTCGACGTGTAGGATGCAGGAATGCCCCCTTCGACGTGTAGGATGCAGGAATGCCCCCTTCGACGTGTAGGATGCAGGAATGCCCCCTTCGACGTGTAGGATGCAGGAATACCCCCTTCGACGTGTAGGATGCAGGAATACCCCCTTCGACGTGTAGGATGCAGGAATACCCCCTTCGACGTGAAGGATGCAGGAATACCCCCTTCGACGTGTAGGATTCAAGAATGCCCCTTCGACGTGTAGGATGCAGGAATGCCCCTTCGACGTGTAGGATGCAGTAATACCCCCTTCGACGTGTAGGATTCAAGAATACCCCTTCGACGTGTAGGATGCTGGAATGCCCCTTCTCGTGTGACTGGCAATGTCTGATTTTCATTGGGTTTGCCTTTTCTGCATTGTATAAAATGCATTGTACAAGGGGGAGGGAGCTTGGCACTTGCCTCCCTCAGTAACTGACAGGCTTAATAGGAGGCGCTTTTTCACTGTAAGCGGGAGCCTGTGGGGCTCCATTGCCTCGTACGGACTCTCCAGTGCAGTCATTAGCGTTGCCAGCACGCGCTACCTGACCTGCAGTGTATGTCGAGCAGAAATTCCTGACCAGGATGTAAAGCTTTCGTCCAGTGAACCGTGTCCTGGTAAAACCGAACAGAGAATAGTCTTTCAACGTGGCTGTCACACTTGACCCATCCTTTACTTCAGTACCCGATTCCCATCCCGTGGGCGGTGGTGAACCCCCTTACCCATCCCGTGGGTGGTAGTGGAGAGGATTACTACCCCATTACGTGCCTATGTTAACCTCTCCACTACCGCCGATGGGATGGAGTTGGCGTGCATAGTAAATGAACACAAATCAAGCAGCCACATTCATGACAAGAAAGAGGCGGCGAGGCAAGGACTGGGACCGTCATGGGACCCACTACATCGCCTGACAACTGTACGAAGGAGAACTCCGGCTTGTAAACAAGCCCCAAGCCCTCTACTCCAGTTCCCTCTCAACCGTTGAGACAATAAATGGATTTTTTTTGCAGCTTCTGTAACTGGCTCCACTTTTCCCAGAACACTCACTGGATGTGACTGGTTTAACTCAACCGCTGTCTTGTGTAACTGGTGCATGGGGAATACACAGATGGTGCTCTGTCGTCTAGGGTACACCCCGATCCCGCCCTGTCGTCTAGGGTACACCCCCAACCCGCCCTGTCGTCTAGGGTACACCCCCAACCCGCCCTGTCGTCTGGGGTACACCCCCAACCCGCCCTGTCGTCTAGGGTACACCCCCAACCCGCCCTGTCGTCTGGGGTACACCCCAACCCGCCCTGTCGTCTGGGGTACACCCCCAACCCGCCCTGTCGTCTGGGGTACACCCCCAACCCGCCCTGTCGTCTGGGGTACACCCCCAACCCGCCCTGTCGTCTGGGGTACACCCCCAACCCGCCCTGTCGTCTGGGGTACACCCCCAACCCGCCCTGTCGTCTGGGGTACACCCCCAACCCGCCCTGTCGTCTAGGGTACACCCCCAACCCGCCCTGTCGTCTAGGGTACACCCCCAACCCGCCCTGTCGTCTAGGGTACACCCCCAACCCGCCCTGTCGTCTAGGGTACACCCCCAACCCGCCCTGTCGTCTAGGGTACACCCCCAACCCGCCCTGTCGTCTAGGGTACACCCCCCCAACCCGCCCTGTCGTCTAGGGTACACCCCCCCAACCCGCCCTGTCGTCTAGGGTACACCCCCCCAACCCGCCCTGTCGTCTAGGGTACACCCCCCCAACCCGCCCTGTCGTCTAGGGTACACCCCCCCAACCCGCCCTGTCGTCTAGGGTACACCCCCCCCAACCCGCCCTGTCGTCTAGGGTACACCCCCCCCAACCCGCCCTGTCGTCTAGGGTACACCCCCCCCAACCCGCCCTGTCGTCTAGGGTACACCCCCCCAACCCGCCCTGTCGTCTAGGGTACACCCCCCCAACCCGCCCTGTCGTCTAGGGTACACCCCCCCAACCCGCCCTGTCGTCTAGGGTACACCCCCCCAACCCGCCCTGTCGTCTAGGGTACACCCCCCCAACCCGCCCTGTCGTCTAGGGTACACCCCCCCAACCCGCCCTGTCGTCTAGGGTACACCCCCCCAACCCGCCCTGTCGTCTAGGGTACACCCCCCCAACCCGCCCTGTCGTCTAGGGTACACCCCCCCAACCCGCCCTGTCGTCTAGGGTACACCCCCCCAACCCGCCCTGTCGTCTAGGGTACACCCCCCCCAACCCGCCCTGTCGTCTAGGGTACACCCCCCAACCCGCCCTGTCGTCTAGGGTACACCCCCAACCCGCCCTGTCGTCTAGGGTACACCCCCCAACCCGCCCTGTCGTCTAGGGTACACCCTCAACCCGCCCTGTCGTCTAGGGTACACCCCCCAACCCGCCCTGCCAGCTTTCCCTCTCAACAGGGTGGCTGGAGGCGTCGTCCCGGCAGTAAACAATTACAGGTCGCTGCACCTGATCAGCTGTTTGAGTAAAGACCGGTATTCGAGGCAGCTCTTGACTGCAGTACAGTCGGTCGCCCGCGTCGCCCCGGGCGCCTGGTGGCATGTTTGGGCGCGGTTGAAACGGATGAAGTATTGTCTTGTGTTGATTTCTTCTCTTGCAACTGTGTGTGTATGTGTATACATACCTACCTGTCTTCAGTTAAAACTGTTAGGTATAGTTTTGGAGAGGGTTTGTGTACTCACCTAGTTGTGTTTGCGGGGGTTGAGCTCTGGCTCTTTGGTCCCGCCTCTCAACCGTCAATCAACAGGTGTACAGATTCCTGAGCCTATCGGGCTCTGTCATATCTACATTTGAAACTGTGTATGGAGTCAGCCTCCACCACATCACCCCCTAATACATTCCATTTGTCAACCACTCTGACACTAAAAAAGTTCTTTCTAATATCTCTGTGGCTCATTTGGGCACTCAGTTTCCACCTGTGTCCCCTTGTGCGTGTTCCCCTTGTGTTAAATAGACTGTCTTTATCTACCCTATCAATTCCCTTCAGAATCTTGAATGTGGTGATCATGTCCCCCCTAACTCTTCTGATGTTCTGATGTGTATGTACTTAAGCGGGCCGAGTAGACTGTTGTGTTAGCAACAAGGTTGCAAGGGTTATTCGTGTGTGTTCAGACGTAGTGGAATGGTGACTTCTATTCCGTATAATGGTTAGAGAGGAGGGGTGAGCTCGCGCGCAGTCCCACGCTCACTACACTTCCAGACTCCTCTCCCTCATTCCTTCCCACGCCCCTTTAACTCCGCTACACTCGGGTACTTCTAACGTCACAATCATTACACCACACACACTACTTCCCCCCCCCCCCTCCCCTCCCCTTACCTGAATATAAGAACGTTTGTATATTTATATTTATTTATTTATATTAATAACAATATATTTCATTTATTTATATAAATAAAAAATACCTCCCCACAATAAGACACTCCCCCCACCCACCCTACAACCCAACACTCCACTCTCACCTCTAGTTCCACACCCACTGTCTGTCACTCTCACTCTCTCACGCACACGCACGAAGCAACAGAACCCCACATGAAAAGGATATCATCAGCGGCATATGCTAGGTAGGCCAACATAAGAACTTTCTTTAGAAACTTGTGTAAGGAATCGTTCAGGATCTTGTATACCACTTATGTCAGACCAATTCTGGAATATGCAGCTCCAGCCTGGAGTCCATACCTAGTTAAACGCAAGACAAAGTTAGAGAAGATTCAGAAGTATGCCTCCAGACTGGTCCCGGAACTGAGAGGTATGAGCTACGAGGAAAGGCTAAAGGAGCTGAACCTCACGACCCTGGAAAACCCAAGAGTAAGGGGAGACATGATAACGACCTACAAAATTCTCAGGGGACTTGACAGGGTAGACAAAGACACTCTTTAGCGCGGGTGGAACATGAACAAGGAGACACAGGTGGAAACTTAGTACCCGAATGAGCCACAGAGACATTAGAAAGATATTTTCAGTGTCAGAGCAGTTAACAAATGGAATGCATTTAGTAGTGATGTGGTGGAGGCTGACTCCATACACAGTTTCAAATGTAGATATGATAGAGCCCAATAAGGCTCAGGACCCTGTACACCATTTGATGGACAGTTTAGAGGCGAGACCAAAGAGCCAGAGCTCAACCCCCACAAGCACAACTAGGTGAGTATACCCCCTCGCCCCACACCCCCACCTTACAACACACTCGTCACCCCCACAACTGAGAGTAGTGAAGGTTGTTCATGGCCGTCCAGTAACTCCTGAGGCACCGGACATCTTTTTCTCTGCTGTTTACGGCCGGACCTTTCTGCTGTAAACACGCT